GTAAACCCATTCTATGTAAATCCATTGTGGGAAGTTCTTTTTCCGTTGTCAAAGTTCAGGTTTTTGGGCACAGATTTACGTTGAAAATGTGTATTGAATATTCCGTATACTTAAACTCGGGTTGAGAAAAGTCATAAATATTTTTTTTATTCTGAAACGATTTTTTCGCTATTCTGTGTTCACCGTTTGGATTTTATATTTGTAAATTAAATCCATTTTTTGCATGTCTTTGAACTCACATCGGGTGCGAAGAACTTAGATAATAACTTCATTCGACTAACACAAAGAATAAAAAAACTGATTTACATTTTTCTCTCACATGAATGATATATAAACAAAAGCGGAAAAACAAGTGGATTTTCTAAGGCAGAACTTACGCTGTCAAAAAAGCAAAATGCTAGGAGTAGTAAAAGTCCACATTTATATGTTTGTATTAACATGTTTACAGTTATTATACACTTAGTATACTAAGTACACTATAGTGTTTGTTTCGAAAATATAAAATTGCAGGGAAATAAAAACTTTGACAAAATTCACTTGCAACAAGCGATTCGATGGCACATATATTTGAATTATTATTATCACCGCGCACAATTTAAAATGTGAAGCGAAATTTTAAGTGTCACAACAACTATAGTTTGATATAACACGATAAACAAAAGAGCCACAATTGATGATGGGGTGTTGTGTTGCTTCGGTCGTATTTAGCGGTACGTCTTCACTTATTAAGTAGTTCGAACCAACTACTTATTCAAAGCCAAATATTGGCTTGCCATCGAATTCTTGTCTTCGCGCATTTCTTCTTTATTATTCACAATCAAGAATCAAGTTGCGTTTTGTTGTGTTGTCATCGATCGTTTGTGTGTCGTACATATTCTTTCTTTTTGTGTATTTTTTTTCTACCTTCATTCAATGTTCGAAACAAACACTCACGACGCGACACTTTATCGTTTTATCGTATGTTCTGGTTGGTTTTGTTTTTTCTTTCATTATTTTTGTGGTCTTTTTTTTTTCTTCAACACCAACGTACAATTGATATGTGTACACATGCATACCAGAATAGCAGCGAAGAAATATAAAGAGAAAGAAGAAGCCGAGCAAAAAAAGAAGAGACGATAGTAATGTTGCAAACCTGATGATCACTCATCATCGGCCGGTATTGAACAAATATAATCTAGTGCAGAAGCGATAGCAATTTTATATTCTCTTTCAATTTTCGTTTCTTTCATTCTCTTTCTCCGACACTATTTTCGTTTCGATTTCTCATTTAAATAAATTAGTCGTTGGACAACACTTCATTTATGCACGGTTCTTCGATATATGATTAATTTTTTTTATGCAAGTTGGATCACTTCACTTTAAAAACACTTGAAATTAGCGAACTTGAAAGAAAAATCAATAAAGTATGATCTATCAGAGAGAAAAAAGCATCAAGAATCAAAACAACAATTTGCATATGAATAACCTTCATTTAAAATTCAATCAGCCAGACAACATCGAAATGAGAACATAACTGCGTAATTATTACGATGAAATCTTTTTTTTTTGCTTTCTTTCTTCTCTGCCATATAGTACTTTTTTTGCTTACAATTTCATACCACTGCAAATGATTGCTCATTTCGCCTCATCGAAACCGCTTATAATTCAAGATATTAATTTTATTGCATTTTTAATCGCATGTAATGAAAGACTTCAATTACTGAAGCTACCTCATTACCGTTGTCGCCACTTATAAATTCAATTATCACTTGCTAGCAAACGAAATCGACAGAAAGTTAGAAATCCGCACAGAATTCTTGGTGGACGATGCTCGTGTTGAATATAATATTTTACCATCGTTGTTACAGTAAATAGCAGCTACATTCTTTTTTTACTAGCTGCCGCGGCGTCGCTTAATTCTATTAAGCCACACAAATGTATTTCTATCATTGAATTAAATTCTCATGTTTGAAAGTCACAATGCAACAAGACTTTTAATTGAAAATTTTTGATGAAGAAAATATTGATAAGCTTCCACAGACGATCAGACGTCGTAATTCGCTTTTCTTTCTATTATTGGCAATGTTTTACATTTGTTATAGTCTGATTTAACTGAGTCAGAAAGAATTGAAATAAAACGAGAATGTTGGATAAAATCAATGGTTCAATATTTCCAAGGGGAAATAATTTCAATGAGCATACGATTTCTTATTATTCATTCAAATATTGATAAGCATATCAGCGTCCCTCTTGAATCCCTCAAACGGCAAAAACTGGGAACTAGAGCGTACAAAATTGCCCTCAATGAAAGACATTTTCATAGATTAATGTTGCCACCAGTAGAGTACGCTTCGACGCTTGTATTGTTGCTGTTTTATGTATCAATGACAATCAAAACCGGTGCATATCAAAAAAGTACGGACCTATGACTGTTAAATGTTTAAATATTGAATTTTGATGGTATTACTTCACTGAAAATCTTCCTTGAAACAACTTAAAGTCTTTACTAAGTTTTTGACGTTCTTAAATCTTATCAGACTTATCTTCCCTTTTATTTCATTTTATTTGTCGCGGAAAATAATTTTTTATCTTGAGCGTAAAACTGGATTTTGTTCGATGCCTTCGTTTGTTGATACACTGACATTTTGTGAAAAGTGAACAGAAAAAATACCAAATAATTAAAGACAAAAAGCTTTCAAACAGATTTCCATTCTATGTGTACAGTGTACAGGCATTCAACAGTATATGTGAACTTCATTAAAAGTTTATTCGCCTCGCGATGCTATGCAAATCACAGTTGGATTGGTTGGACGCGCATTTTAAGATGTGGACAAATGTGTGTGTGTGTAGTCTCACGAAAGGAATTTCTTCTTTGCTTCTGCTTTAAATCCCCATTTCGGCGACGATAAAATCAAAAGATATAATGTGCACTCCAAAGTTTTTGGTAAAAAAGCATCAACGATGATTCACGTTAACTCAGACCGAAATACGAACAGGATGACGCACACGGCTCTCGCTTCGAACGGGTTTACTGATTTCTGAAATTTATTCCGATTAAAATTATCGTTCGTTCTCTTTTTTTCGTATTTATTTTTATTAGTCAAGAGAATTAAAGAGTGTAGCGTACAAGTCACTGTTGTTATAAACAGCAGTCACCCTGTTCGTTATCCCTCTTACCATTTGATGCTAAATCACTAAAATGACAATCATTGTGTAAAATGTAATTATTCCACATGACAAACATAAAGTTTAGTTTATTCGATGTACGTTTGCTATCTTTGGTTCATTTATTTTGCGAAATTCAAATTTCAAAATCATTTTAGATTGGTTCGCACGCTGCCAAAAATTGTCATTCAAATCTTTCTTCTGGTCGAAAAACTCCATAAGCGCCACGAGTTGAAAGACATTTGAATCGTTATTTCACCAAAAATGGCAAACGTTAAATCAGCACCAATAAAAGCAGCACCAGCAGTAAGTTATCAAAACTGAAAACCGGTAATGCGTTTCAAAGACTGGTTTTAAACAAATAAACAAAAAAAAAAAAAATAAGATACCGCTTTGGCATACGCACGAGCTCGAATGACTTGTTTATGATGCGTCTTAAAAATAAATCGAAGCATGAGAACCAATTGACATATTAAACTAGACATGGCAGACATTACAAAAAATATTGATTAATTAATTTGTATAAATAGAATGGGCTTTGACTGAGATTTTTTTACCTCTGCTTGTTGTTATGACTTTAAATTGATTTACGAAGAACCGAATTAAACATATTTCATTGAGAAAAAACATGTATTTTACAATGCATGAATGTACTGTATGTTTTTTTCAGAGTAGGAACGCACGCTTTTGAGATATCATTTGATGTTTTGTTTGCATCTCGTGCCATATGAGATGTGTGAGCCATCGACCTCTGTCACATTTTTTTATTTCGAAATGCGTGCTATAAATTTTATTTTTTCATATGGAGAAGAATGTAACTTGAAGATTTTGTTATTTTTTCTTTCGCGATTCGCGATGATTCCACTTCTCTCAAAAATGTGTTTATAATTTAATTTTTTTCATTTCAACCAAATTACAAGTCGTTAAAATTTGAAAACCTGGTCAAAGATGTATGACATCTCACTGTTGAAAGAAACTAATGACAATCAATAAATCCAATGTTTTGTGCATGTTGAATTATATATTTAATGTTTGTTTACAAATTGTTTTTTCTTTATATTTTTTTGATTCAAAATTTAGAACCATTTTTTTATTACACTACATTAAAAACGAAGTTAAAATTTCCATCCATAAAGTTGACATTGTTTGATACAGAGAAAAGAGTTCAAGATTCGTGTGCAAAATAGTCGCTGCCATAAAGAGCACCTCTTCCACTTAAATCAGCATGATATTTTTTCCATTTTTGCATGATATGTGTTGGTGCTTTCATAAAGTATGCCCATGTCTTTTTATGGCTGTCAAAAAAGCCGGTATTCGATGTGGCTGCTTCTTGCTTTTCATCGTGTTGGTTTGCAGTGTTAAGGTCATTGTTCGATTGTGATTCACTTGCGGCAATCGGATAGTATTGGGCATTTGTGGGCAGGGAATCGTCGCTAGATGTATGTGCGGCAGGTGCGGATGCAGGGAATGCAATTGTTTGATGTTGGTCATCAGTTGATGATGCAGCTTGAGAGTTCGAGCTGGAAAACGAAGAAGATGAACCACTACTTGAACCCGTAAATTGAGATGAGGAAGAAGAGGAAGAGGAGGAGGAGGAAGAAGAAGAAGAAGAAGATGATGATGATGTAGAGCCGGCCGACCCAGCCGATGTACCAGCCACATTGGAACCACCACCAAACGAATTATCCGAACTGTGTACCGAACAGTATGATTGCGGTTGACGTGACTTACCAAATGGAACGATAGATTTTAGATGCTTTTTCACATTGGGATTCAACGAAAAATGTGTTTTAAATTCTTTCGTTTCGGGCGCCATTGCCATCGGTTCATAAATTTTCGTGCGCATTTGTCGTGCATTCGAATATTCACTTGAAATTGCCTCATTCAGAGGTGGAGCAGTGTCCAGTTGTTTAGTTGAAATTGCTTCTGCAGTTGATTGTGCCGGCTCCATGCTGCGGCTGGAACACTATAAATAAAATTTCCGAAAATAACGAATTTATTTTAGTTTGTGCTTTTATTAAAGAACGAAGATTAATTATAATGTATATGTGGTATGTGTGCAGTCGAACGTTTAGCACACAATGTATGGCGTGCATACTGCACACACTCTCGCATTCTCTCTTTCTCGCTATGTGTTTATTTAATAGATACTAAACCGAAATGAATTATTGTTGGAAAATTCAATGCATGCGTGTCTCGGCCATACTTTAAATTTGGTACACCAAAAATGGGGCTTATGGTAAAACCTATCACCTGCTGTTATGATTTTCACCCGCACTCCTTCTCTTTTGTGCTCTCTCATAGTGTGCGGCAGGTTCACGTGTGTACGCTGAGAAAATATGCTTAATCAATGGAATTTATGGATTTGACATGTTTTTATACTTTCGTAGCTCATTTTTTTTTTCAACCACATCACACTAGCTCATCGTTCACTTCATACTGTTTTATGACCAAAATGGCCGATTTCCTACAGTTTTAAATGACATCATTTGAATATTTCGAAGTGGGTGCACAGTGCACACACCACAACTGTTTGACTTCACCCGAAGCTTAATTTGAAAGGAAGTTTATGGCATGGTATTTTCTTAGTTTTTCCGTAAATTTTGCATCTATTTTCAAAATGTCTGAAACTGATATATTTAGGAATAACACGTGAGAACAAGTTGGATAGTGGGAAATGGAAATATTGAATGGCTTAGATTAATGATTGTTACGTGCTGAAATTAATAAACCAAATACAACTACACTCAAAATGGCCTCGAAGGTGAAAATGGTCTCATGTGATTTCGATATGTGCCATGTACATTGTACAATGGGTTTGTTAAAATTCCAAATGAAATATTTAAATAATAACTCATGTGAAAATATCTCTTTCATATTGTTTATCAAATGAACATCATTAAGAAATTGATTGCGGAAATGATTTGTCGGAATATTCGGCATTCCAATTCAATCGGAAATTGATCGTCAAATTCAAAGCACAACAGCCCCTTCATGGCAATATAGCTTTTTCGTTGGAATTAATGTAGATTCAATTGGTTTCTCAATAATTTGGCACTTGTGGTTATTGACCAGAACTACTGATATTGCTATATTCCACTAGCAAATATGTAGCAAGTCATACATAGACTATAGCTCAAGAATATATAAGTATTCACGATGAACATATAGCATAATTATTTGTTGTGGTTCAAATACATATTACATATCATTAATGGAAATGTATATCCAACGTACATGCATATTTTGATGATGACGACGATGTTGTGATGATAGATATTTGAAGATAAGACATCTAATTCATTGAAATTAGTATTCAAAGCAATTGGCAGCATCTTCGCGTTCATTTGTACCATGTCTAAATAGTTTGGATTTAAATGAAACTTTTTGACGAATTTAGATTGCATACCGAAATTACGAGATTGTTGTATTCGTGATAAGCCTAAGCAATAAGGTCCGGTTTAGCACTTGTTTGCAAATGGATTGCCCGATATATGTTGAATTCGAAACACATAACAATTGAATGATGCAATTATGTAGCACTTAACAGCCAAACATGTGATTAGTGTGTAAGCCGGAGCCAAACGAATCAAGTGCATTGATGAATAATTAACTTTCATGAAATGATAAAAAACATCGTATCATCAATACAATTTTACCCAAAATAACACATTGAAATCAGCATTCGCCGGAGAGAATCAATACATATTTTTTTTGTTTTTGAGAAATTAAAATGACCAGAAAACTTTTCAGGTGGCACAATCATACAAGTATGAATGGAAAATGTAAAAAAGTAATTTCCATTTGGACAATTTTGTTGTAAAATCCATTTTTTGTTCGGTTTCTGTTTTTAAACTCATCATTTATCAGCTATTTTCGAATTGTTGGAAATAAAAGTGAAAGAAAAAAGCATGAAAATATAAAACTTTCGTAAGCATTGACAGGAGACGAAAAAACAAAACAGAAACTCTTGTTTTATTCGTTTTTTTTTTTTAATCTGTACGAATAAGAGAGAAAAGCAACTCGATGCACACCCGCTTAATATATAAACGAATGTTTCATGCACTTTGTTTAAGGTTCATTAAATTCACTGTCGAATGTATTCAAGTAGTACAATTGCGTGTATAAAACACACAGGCAGGACAAAAGCGCATTTCGATTTTTGCACACACACACACACACACACATACATTGCTTTTAATTATTCACCGTGTTCATTGTTGCCATCAAAATAGCGATGATAATAAAAAATGGTTGGACATAACCGTATCTCCTCCCCTGTCTCCCATTATGGAAGTGACGCACGATCAAATCGATTTTCATTTTGCGTATCGAATAATTTGGTGACTGTTATTTTTGCAGCGGTAAAAATGGAATGAATCGAATTGAAAAAAAAGTGTATTGTAAATAATTCAATTTCCTTTTTGAAAATGGTATTTTTATGCTTTTATGGTTTTTCGTGTGTTTCACGATAAAAAAATAATGAATTCACTTTCACGAAAATAAAACAAATACATTAACAGTAACATAAATTAGATGAAATTTATGTTCAGTGCGTGCGTGCCAATGGAATATTTAACGGTCACTTGAATACGATTTTCGGCTGGATTTTACTTCATTTCTCCGGACATGGACTCTAATATGTGTGAATAATTTGTTCGCACCGGCTGCTTTGCAAATATTACGCGCAAAAAATTTTTAAAATAAAAAAATTCGATGATAAAAACACATTTGTTGGATTCTTTCACTGATTCCCGTTGATATTTGTATTTATTTTTCTACAATGTAAATATTTTCCATTTTTTCCCTTCGACTGTTTATTCTTTAACTTTAGCTGTGTGCGTCCGTATTTTTGCTGCCGTTTTCGGTGCGATTCATTAAAATTTATAAATTTTTGTTTTCAATTCATTAACACACTATGTTGCTATTGTAGTTTTTTTGCCTCAGATGAATGAATATTATTCACATTTACATTCATGACTTTAATTTGTGATACCGTATATATAGAGAGAGTGTTTACAATCGAAATCGAGCGCACACTTTTTGTCGAATGCATTATTTTTGGAACATAGTGCCTTTTGTCTGCTGAATAACTCTTCGAATGAGAACGAATTATGGCATTATTTATACTAAGAGCATCATTCATAGAACAAACTACATTCGCATATGCAATATGCTGGTAGATATACACACTGATGCAACTGCGCTCATTTGTATTTGTGGATTAGTTGGCATTTCATCGTATCAACTTTATTCGATAAAGTCTACGCTTTTGGTTGAATAATTCAACAGTTTCATAATGAGATAAGGTGAATTGCTTCGATTCCAAGTGCCAATTATTCTCCCTCTTCTCTCTCTGCTCTCTCTCGTACTCGGTGTAATGACCTATATTTATATGGTTATTTAGTGTTGAATGCATTCGAGATGTTGAAAGCGTATCCATGATTTAATAATCAACTCGAAACACAATGTCAATTAGCGAAAAATGAGTGGCAAACCTCTGCGCGGTTGCCCGCATCACAACACTTGGAATTAATTGTTTGGCGAATAATAATTGGATTTTGCAATTTTTGAATAACGGTCAATTAAATGGTCAACCACCCACAAATTTCTCCAGTATGTAATGCGCAGTGAGAATTTTAGCGATAGCTAAATACAAATATGTATATTTTCATGCATATAGCATACACGTTCGTGACGTTTAAATAAAATTTTCATGAACTTAGTCAAATTAGATTCTAACACAGACACAGTTGCTGCTCTTTTGATTACTAGAATGATGAGGGGTAGACACAACCATAAAAACTACACGTCTTTCGAAACATTCTTCAATCAATTCGAATGTATCAACTCAAAGTATCTTATCATCGCCACAAAGTTTCGGAGTGGTTAATTCTCTGCTTGCATCTATTATGGATTTTTCTCTATGAATTCCGACGAATCTATTCAAATCATGAATGGAGGTGCAATAAAAAATATTGTAAAATACTTGAATCTTGTAAAAATAATTCTATTCCTTTTTAAGTCCGAAATCGTTCATTTTATAAAAATCATCTTTTGTATTCCAAATGGATGGAATCGTGTCTACCCCCTGATGATTATGACTTGTCATTTAAACCTGAAGCTCTTGCCTTGATCCGTTTCTATGTTCGTCACATCTATGCCGGTGTAACCCATGAACAAGATTAATATTTAAAAGAAATATATCGTCCTGAGTCATGTCTTGAGTCGAATGACAGCCGGATGTAATTATAAGGTGATTTCCTTTTGGAAATGATGGAGATGATGATGCATTTGACGGCCATTGAACCGAACATGAATGCATTACTCGGCTCTTTTTCACTCTTTTTGACAAATCAAAGTGAGTCAAATAAAATTGATGGCCATAGACCGATGCTGAAAAGAGCGGAGACATGGGCCACTTATTCATTTCCCGTGTACTTTTTTCTCGCCTTTGCTGTTATCAAGACAGATAAAATTTATATATTTTCCATTATCTCTTGTCCTTTTAATGCAGCTTCGATGTAGATAGATGTCTTTGGAGTTGGAATCACAGTTAATGTTGTTCTGATCACAAAAAAAGGGATACAAAAAAGTTTATCAATTGCGAACATAAGGTTAAATTGCATTTGCGCACAGAATAGTGATCACAAAATTGTAAGAATGTGGTTGCAAAAAAAAAAAGGTGAAACAAAATAAATTGAAAATCAAAGAAAACTTTCTGTTCAAGTGCGGTTGGCGTTTTGTCTTTTGGATCTCATGACTTTTGTTCTCGTTCCTTGCTCGCGATTTCTCCATAAATATTTTGCTCATTGCGGACGCGAAATGCGTGATAATAAAATACAGCATGTGCAATATCAAATACCTTTGGAAAATAAAATACAATCGCATGAGATATATAGAAACGAGACAAGCAAATACACGAAATAACATTTACTTTTTTGCTCATAGCGAAATTGTGTATCAACACAAACGAACGGAAAAAAACTTAAATAATTCGTGCACAAGAGATATAGCAATTTTTCTGTGAGTTGGCAATAAGAGATTGTTCGCTTGATTGCTACTTATTCTCTCTTCCGAAACCAAAATCACAAATTCAACGCGCTAAGAAGTCACGGTTTTGATTGTTATTCTTTGTGGCGGCGATATATTTTTTTTATTGGTTCACTGATCTTTTTTTTTTCCTTTCGACCGTACCGTGCACACACACACCAAATCTTTTGCGTCTTCGCGGGTGCATTTCATGAAAATGGATTACATCTTCTATTTGGGAAAAAAGGGCAAATAAGAACGCGAGAAAAAGATGGTGAGCACAAAGCGTTCTATGTATTTCACTTGAATCTTTAAAAAAGTGTAATTGATTGTGTATGTGTGTGTTTGAACTTTAAATGAAAATACCAAAGATTATACAATACAATCCATCTTTTGGAACCAAATTCATGCTATACAATATAAATGACTCTCAAAGCAGAAATGATATTTTCTGGTGTATGTTGTGTTCGTCTTGTTTATAAATATCACTCGTTCATTTTCAAAGTGTCACTCTGCATTTACACGGTATATCTGGAGACGAGACACAAGTGACATGGAGGATATATTCAAGTGAAAACTTAATGGCACGTCCAAAGTAACCAAATCTATTTTCGAATTTCCTTCTTCGTTCGCCGAACGGAATGAGAAAATACACATGCATACAATATATCCAAGAATGCCAAAGTAATAAAACCAAAAAAGCAACAAGCGGGAGTTTAGAATGGTAGCAGCAGCATCGCAATCGTAAAAAAGAAAATTTAAAATTCATTCAGCATGTTCGCCATGGCATTGTTTCTGATTAGGGTTTTCGTCAACAACAATGAAGTAAAAAAAACGCATTTCAGTATGTGTTTTGTTTACCAATTTCCATTTTCATTCTGTATCACGTGTTCAAAATAACACCCAAAAAATGGTGGTAACCGTAAAATGACTGCTCTTCTTTCAATTCGCTCCTGCGGTAATGTTTGTATTACAACCAAAATGCATTGGCGCCATTGTTTTACATATATTTTAAGTCTGATCAAGTTTTCGTTTTTGTCTCTCATACGCACTCAATGTACTCGTATTTTCAATTCGGTGCCGCTGTTGCTGCTGTCGCTCTTGTTTTGTTTGGTGCTGAATCAAATGGATTTTATTTGTATAAAGGCTATTTGATATTCACGATCTGGGAAAAAACTCTTTTCTTTTGGGAGCATCCATGTTTTTTTTTGTTACTTTTTATGGTTATAAATGTTTTAAATGCATCAAGTGTCATCAAGAGAAAGAAATGTAAAAGTTTGTTTCGATAAGGCACATATTTAACATACCTTTTCAAATCGTTCCGCTTAATTGTGCGTGTGTGAATCGTCTGTTTTTGGCAGTGCGTGATCTGAATTGAATTCTTACCTCACTTATTCGAATTGTGAATGTCTTTTCCATTACCAAAATACCTAAATCAAAGTCACCTTCGTCAACCATTCCATTTTGTTACCTAACAAACCAAAAAAACACAATTTCTTTGCATTTATATTCTTTATTGTATGTAAGATTTTTTTTTATTACATCGACAGTATTTTTTTTTTTTTGCAGTTGTTGTTAGTTAATTAGTTAGTATTCCGTTTATTGATTAATGCCATCATTTTTATTATATTTCATACACAAATAATAGTGTTTCTCATTTCATCCAATTATGTCCTACAAAGTATTGATATCACAATTTTACTTGGTAATCATATATGTAAATCGAATGACGTCCAATTAATTTTTTGAGAATTTGAATGTCAAAAGTAATAACCGTAACTGTTCGGTTTTCTTTTTTAACTTCATGCTGTGAGAGGAAAAAATTGAATAAACGAAAATTAAATTATTTTTCCAAAATGAAATTACCAAACTTAACTTCAATATAAATAGATTTTGCTTGAAGTAACAAAGATATGTCAATTTATGTCATTTTATCTTCAAAATTTTCTTCTCTTTTGTAGTTTAGTATCGGGTAATGAGTTTTTATCAATCATTCCACATATATTTTAATGAATCGCAATTTAGAACTCATTTTTCATTTGTTTCTTATTTTCTGATAATTGAGCCATATTTAAAGAACTCACAATATAGTTTTTTTATGTGTAAGCATATAAGCTTCCATATTATGACCCACTTCAGTTGTTGATTAAAATCGTTTTTTCAATGTTTACATTAAAGTATTTTTGTGCCAAATTGAACTTACCAAAGTTATTGGACAAAACAACGAATTGAATTTCTTAAACTCGCATTTCGTAAAATGTTCATAAAAATCGCCTAATGTGTGAATTTTTGATGAAAATAAATTCAAATTTGTTTTTTGACAGACATAAGGTTTGAGCTATGGATATAGCGGCTGCTATTTCATAGGCGCTGTTCATAGGCACTATTTATCTCGTTTTAATGCATTTATGCATATTGTGGCTATTCCTACTCGGTGTTACAAACAGCACACGAATTAAATAGCGCCTATGAATAGCGGCTATGAAATAGCAGCCGCTATATCCATAGCTCAAACCTAATGTCTGTTTTTTGACCATATATGTATACTATTCTATATTTAAAAACATTCGTTACTGTTGAAAATTAGTAAAGAGTTCTCAGGTCATAATATCGGAAGCTGTGTGACTTCATCGATATTTGTGTGTTATACATGAACGATTATGAAAAACGTTTACAAATTTCAATAATGCAAATATTTAATTTGTAATATTTTGTTGTGGTTGTGTTTTTTTATTCATTTGATTATACTACATTCATCTAGATCCATATAATGATTTCCATGTTTTTTATTTGGTAAATTTTTATTTTATCAGTAATATAACTAAAAAAATAAAACAAAAATTCGTCGCTAAGCCATTTTATGTGTTGATTTATGTTGGTTGAATACACTTTTGGAACAGGTTCCAGCTGTAACCTGTTTCCATTCAACGGGCTCAATCGAGAATGATATATAAAAAAACATTTTCTCGTGCGTCCGAAACCCCATCTAAATTTAAATAGGTTTTAATGTTATTTAACAAATCAATTTAGTTATTTGTTTCATTATTTTGTATTTATTTAAATATTATTATTTACTAGTATCCATAAAACATTTATCCTTAATTTGCTTAAAACGCGGTATGTAAAAATGAATTGAAAAAAAGAACATCTCCAATTAATGACTATTTACATTCAATTCACTGTGATTTTGAAGAGTGTATATTTTTACGGCCAACCATTATTGTAGTTGATGATGTTTTTGCACGTGAATTTTTGAAAATTGTAACTAAAGTAGAAGGGCGAAAGGGATGTTTTCCAAAATGCACTAATTTTTTATTATTATATTTGATTTTATATGAACAACACTAATTTTTTCGGGTTCAGTCGCTCACAATAATTAACAACACCTTCTGCTATCCCCTCCACAGCAACCGCTCTTTAATCATGCGGTGAACAATATGCCACCCATATACAGTACACATATACACACTAGTTGATCATTTTTTTATGAATTTATTATTTCGTTCGTTAGTTGGTTCGTTCATGGCTTTGATCGGCATTTTATGAACTGTATTAATTTATTATTGGAGAATAATTCTAATAAGCGATTTCATTAAATTCACCGTATAGTATATAAACTCGAACGAAATTAAATGAGTTGTTGTTTTTGTTGCTTGCATTCCCAATACGTGTTCCATTCTGTGAAACAATATTATACATACATTTAACGATGGCCCGTCGATGGGGTGAAAATGAGCTGGTATGTTATGGTAAATTTTTAATTTACATGTTGTTTTATGTGTTTTTATTCAGTTTTTGGTTTATTGTTTCCAATGACGAGCACGATTTTTTTTATATACATCGATTAAACTCTTTTTGTTTCACGTGAAATATGATCTGATTACTTGTTCTTTTTTGTTGTCAATTTGTGTGTGTTAGTCAAGGGACATTATAAACCCTCGTTACAAAATATTCCCGTTTCAAAAGTGAATCTAGAAATGTGAGTGTTTTTTTTTTGTTCTCATTTGTGCGGTTGAAATAGTGTCAACTTGACACATTTTGACCTATTTTTCTTGTTTATCCATACAATACGAAATTCGATTACATTGATGTATTCTCTTCGGCTTCAAGTTCCGGTTCTTCGGTTAATGTGTAGACACCAGTCAAACCCATGACTCCCTGTGAGGTTGTCTGTTGTGGTTGGACAGTCTGTTGCTGCATTGCTGATTGTTGCGATACCGAAATCATTTGAATTTGTATGGGTGGTGGCGGCGGTAAGTTGTCCAACACCTCCGGCATTATTTGTTCGTTCATTGTTACAATTGGAACTAATTCATGGCCCAAGGCATGATTGCTACAATCCTTAAGCACATTCAATTGACTCATGTCTGGCTCTTGTGCAAACAGCAACGATGTTGGTGTTCCTACAGATATTCCAATTTAATGGAGAATTGAGGAGGGAATAAACATTTAATCGATAAAAAATTGTTATAAAAACTGTTTATAATTGAAAAATCAAGCTTAATTGAAGTACACAATTCTCAAGCGAGAAAAAAATTGTAAGAAATTAAGGCGACTATTGTTCTTTAATGGCAACGTGTATTGATGTATAGATTTGGAAAGATTTTAGATTATTGTGTCGAAAAACTTACCCGAGATTAATGTCTCTTCAGTGGGATTACGGTGATATAGATTGGTATTTTTCTCGTACCGTCAGGAGGCAAAAAAATCATTTGGATCGTCTGTGGCTTGTTGTGAGATATGTGAAATTTTGTGCTTTGCATCTACAACGGTCCGTAAACGATGTGCAATTTCTTGATGCAATACATTGTAACACATTGCTGTTAATGCCATGCCGCACATGATGTAAATCGAACAAAACCATGTGGTTGTGGTTGATTCCTTATGCATATCTGGCCGCATATCGCCAAAACCGACGGTCGATAAACTCATAAAACAAAAATAAATTGCATCGATAAATGTCCATTCTTCAAGCCGTATCAATGCCAATGCACCGAACAGCACATAAATTATCATCATGCTTAAGCATAGAAGAATCGGCGCCAGAATGCTCAAGCCATGCATTGATGCTTTCGATTCGCTGGTGCTTATCGATTCCACATCGGCTACAATTTGAATTTGTTTCTCCGGCGAATGAAGATTATTGTGCAATGCATTTGATCGTACATAATACGGTTCTTGTAGTGACAATTGTTGGGCACGTATTTCTTCTTGTTGACGCTTCCGCTTCAAACGACGCTCTTTTTCTGCCATTCGTTTTTCATCGTAGCAGCAGTATCCACAATTTGAGCACAGGCAACAGCATAGTGCTCTATATTGTCGATGCATAGGAATAAATGGAGACAGAGGAAGAAAGAAAGAAAGAAAAAATAGAAGAAACAAAAGAAATTACCATATGGATATTGCAATTCGCTGAAATTGCTGTGTAATTTGCTTAAATAGGTGATAATGAAGACATAATCTTCCAAATGATTCGACCAAATAATACATGTTAAATGGCTTAACCATACAATTGTGCAATATGGGTGTGTATGTTCGCCTCGATGTTCGCGCTGTTTGATATCAAGGCGCGTATGTATCGCCACTTCAATTGATTGTTCACATTGTTTCAGACTGACTTACCGTGAAAATACACCACGAGCAACACGTGCTAGAACACCGCCCGTACTTGATAAATAAATTAATGTTAATGGGATTCCCAGCATTGCATACACCATCGTTACGATACGGCCAAGCGTTGTACGAGGCGCCAAATCTCCATAGCCTGGTTTTCGAAACAAATAAACAAAAACAAATATAATATAAATAGAGGTAATAGTCGATTAGTTGGAGTTAAAGTTTAACGAGTTTATTCATAGTTAACAGAATCGATTTTAGCCAATATGCTATTTTATCCAAAATTTTATGGCACGAAAAATTTATCGTTCATCTGCTTGTTACAATAAAATTACCCAATATCGGCCTGAATTTTGGATTAACTACGAAAAATCCCAAGGGATTTTAAACTCTTGTTTGACTTTAGTCAAATTACAATTTTGGGATCAAAACTTTTTTAAAAAAAAGTATCTCGAACACTTTCCCGATATAAATATCAACTGCAATTCAAACAAAACATAAACTCATTTGAATGTTAACTCCGGAGATAATCTTCGTTTATGTTGTTTGATATGTAAATATTACAATGGCATATCATACAGTTGTGATGACCTGTGAGTGAACTGGAATTCATAAATTCTCGTTCATTTTTGCCATTCATGATGTGGGATTTTCCACATATTTTGTTCATCGTTTTTACTAGTTCATATAAACCGAGATAAAATAGCACTAGATGCTCTTTAGGTGAGTGAGTTCGTACGGTGCATATCTCGTTGTATTTAATGTATGTCGGTAGTTACGAATGCACCGTATAACGCATAATAAACAAAATGAAGTGGCCTTTTTCACCTTCATTGCTGCAGGAATCGGGAGTCTATATTTTCCATGCACCATTTCCAATCGATGCAAACATTGCACATTTCAAACATAAATACGATTTGAAATGCGAACCAAGATATTCGTTCTTTCGCCCCATTAAATATGTATAGCCATAAATTCATGTTTTTTTTCTCTTCATCTCTATTTCTCTCACTTTTGAGCTTTTTTTCGCATTGAACTAGCATGTATGTTGTATAAGTAATGAGCTCAACACTGCCAGACATACACACTCACATTTATCTAGTTAAAATATGCGAAATTGTTTGACGGGACGAGCAAGTTCTTTAAAATGTGTATAATCAAAGCATATAAATTGTAAGCGACAAGATCAGAGAGCTGTCACTATTGGGTCAATGCACATTAAAGTCCACGATGACAACATTCGTTAACAATTCAAAGTATCCATTTATCCATTTGGATTTTGCTCGGTGAGGAACAGTGAATGAGCTCTCGCAAAAGCGAAAAAAAAAAACGTACCAAATCAAGATATACTCATCGAATAATACCATAAACAAACGTGAGAACCCTGGATCATTCTAAACCAAAATTGAACGACGAATGGCTTATGCGTACGACATTAAATTATATCCGAAGCGGAATAGAGAGAGAGAGAAATTAGATTGACAGTAGATTCATGTATGGAAATGTATACGCTTTGAAAGTGTAGCAGTACGCATAACGTGCGAATGAGTATTTCGTATATTTGTGGTGTCGATGCTCTTGCTCATGTATCCTTCACTATTCACCAAACATAACAACGACCATATTCCTTCAAACTATTCCATTTATTGACGGTAATAGGTATTCTGACACAAATTCCAAATCTGGCGATAAATGTAATTCATCCACACACGAGCAAAGCATAAAGAAAAAGACATATAGAGTGGAAAAAATGGGAGTGAGAATGTCTCCAGCAATGAAAGCAAAGTTAATTGGTTGAAGTGAAATTAGAGTGCTGCATTCAAAAGAAATCTCTCCTGCTCCGTCTCCAAACCCGTACAATCTAAATGAATTAAGGACAAACCGATGAGAAAATGCCAAATGACCATATATTTCTGAATTGTATGGTTAAAAGGTCTAAAGGGTACTAAAATACTGTCCAAAATGCAGTAAAACAATCTAATTTAGTCGCTTATAAACACAAAATAAATGTGTTCAGCACACATTTGAATGTTCAAGCGCGCGCTCCTATCTATCGAATACATACATAATTGGAATCGGGCGATATTGTGTGAGCGGACTATGCATTCACAAATGGTGGCAATTTTTGGGGATGTTGAAGTGCCAAAGTGTAATATATCACGGTCTACCCATTGTATAGTTTCAATGCCGTTTTTGTCGTCGTGCTATTGTCGTTGTTGTCGTCGACGTAAATCATGGCATGAATAGAAATAAATGAAATGAAATTGTACCGCCATAGATAGAGATGGTATCGTTGGCCAGTATGACCTCCGAACCATTTTGTGGATTTGAGTTCGTTTCACAGATGGACAAATGCAACTTATACATATATAAATACGAACCAGCAGCACAAGCACAAGCACAAGCACAAGCATCAATTACAATGGGCTTTTTACTCATGCACACATACACGCATCAAATATCCGATGTATTCAAAATATGAATTAGGAAATGAAAGCCTATTACCAACAAATAGATTCAAAGTGGCTCGAAAACAAAATGAATTTTATCGACATTCATACTAATACACAATACAAACCATTGTCCGTGAGCGTTCACAAATCATATATTTGCGCTCATGAAATTTCCTGCAAAGAATTTTCCTATGCGGAAAATTGGAACAAGACCGACAAAAAAGCATTTGGCCTCAACTACAGATCACAGTGAACTCAATTTAATTCGATACAACAACTAACAAAACTAGTCAAAATCATCAAATGTAAAAAAGGTGCCGTCATCACAGGATCTAAGGGATTTACTGGATGAAGAAAATTCTGGCCATATAACCGGTGTTTACATTGATTGAAGAAGAAAATCGAAATAATAGCGGTATAGAGAGATTTTTCCTTGTTAACCTTCATTCGGATAAAATGTTTGTAAATATTTTTGCGGTTGTGTCGATGATTTGTTGATAAAACAACTTGTGACCAGGTCATTGTGCGTGTGTCGTCAATTGATTTAAATAATTGAATTTCGCTTTGAAACGAATTAATGCATAGTGCGATCATTTGCAAACTCGTCAATTCAAAGAGAATGAATGACATTACTTAATTTTGACTTGGAATAGAAATTTAAATATTTAAAATATGACAAATATTCAGCACAACCATTTGAAGGCTGTTTGAAATCAAAATGCTCATTTTTGCTTGCATGCAAATACATTCCCGATTTAAAAAATTGAATGAACGCGCTAGCAATCAGACGTGTATTAGGCAATTTCAATAAATTTGTCTCCATAGGACCGTACCGGCTCAAACACCTACACGTATGCAAACAACAATTCATTCCAACATACGATTGAGCATTAAAATCAACGCGGCTTTATTTATTTAATGAAGTGACCACATTTAAATAATGGCAATATGGTCGCAGCACAATTCAAACTGCACTTTATTTTGTTTTATTATCAGGCATTTGTCGGTCTTTTAAACCAACCGTATACTTTTTTGCAAGCCATTTTAATCAGTATGTGTGACATTTTTGAACTCAATTGCAATTAAATCTAATTATTATTTTATTGAATTGGATTGCATTGAATGATTTTCAATGGCCGCATGAGAAATGCGCATCTGCCGAATGATTGGACGAATTTGATCGATTTTCAATGCATTTAATCAGCATTTCAAATGACCATACACTTGACAAATTAAATTGCACACTATTTTCCATGCAATCCGCTTATAGGGCGTATGAATTCACACGAGTTGCATCCAATTAAATGACATTTTTGGCCAAATTCAAATTCAAATGTTTATTCGAAACAATTGATTTAGTTCGTGCATAAATTATCATAAAAAACCAACTCTCGTCCATTCGACAGCGCATTTGTATAACGTTTCCAAATTAATATTGATATCATGTGCTTCTGTACCGCACTTTTTATCGCAGAAAAATCAATACTTCGTTCACATGCACCCAAGTGACGCCAATTGTATTTTTTTTTAGAAAAATTCCCCCAAAATGTATAATATTGAAAATCAATTGGATAAAATATAATATCTACATAATACTACTGCGTCGAAAATTCATGAAACATCAAATAATAGACAATCAATTTATGTTCATATCCTTGAAAAATGTAATTAAGAAATGGTATGCAACAGTACAATTCAAATCCGTTTCGAAAATTTGAATAAAATATTCACTTTTATTATAAATCATTGAAATCCACATAAAACCTGTGCTTGATTTCACAATAAAAAAAAATAGAACGGAATATGCCACTGGCTTATGCACAGCACACATATATTCTCCAAAATGAAACAAAAAAGAGAGACAGTGAGAGAGATTGAGATGAATGTTATGTGTGGCCCATATGCATGTATTTGGTGCATTTCCGGTAGTGCTATTTTGTAATAGAATTACATGCTGAAATGTCAGCCATATTTTGTGTTGAAACTGAATTCAAAAATAGTGCACACTAAAATATTCCGAAAAATGTGAGGAGATGAATCGTTCTCATATTTTGAATGACTGTTTTAGCGGCGCTTAAAAGTTTGAAGCACAAGTGCATTTTTTTACTAAAAATGAGATAGCTGGGGAAATCTTTGTGCACACGTTTAACAATAAATCCAACTTTTATGCAAACATGTGTGTCAAAAACGCCTTGAATTATGTCGCATATTGTGCATCACAATATGCACATTAAATACCTACTGATACGCATTTATGAAAAATTAGCACGAGCACAGCGGCAATGTTAAATATTCATTCGTTTGCAAAATACTGATATTTTATTTTAAGGTTTATGCGTTCATTATTCAACGATGGTTATCACAAATCAAGTGAAGCGCACGCTTCGTCATTCGTTTTTTTATGAAGTTGACCAACTACCGCCATCATATTACATAAAATTAATATTTATGTAATTAATTGGAATTTCCTCAAAAAGTCGAGAGCAAATCAACCGAAATTTATGTATGCAAACATTAAAATTGGTCAGACTGCGATGATGCTTTCAACACGTTCTGCCTGGATGGCTCTTTTAATAGACAATATATATGCTAATTGATCGCAAATTGCAACGTAGATACATCTATTTCGCTAAATTATTGACATCGAAAATTGGCCGCATATGAATTATATTGAAATAGCATTTTTTTAATGAAT